TAATCTAAACTATTATAAATAAATTATGAAAAATTTTTTTTTTAATACTTATACTGTATGACATTTCAAATGTTTGATAATATTTAATAAAGAAGAATACAAAATGTCTTCATTATTAAATAAATCGAACACCTGAAATGTTACATTTATTTAATAAAGAATATTAAATAAATCAAACATTTGAAATGCTAATACAGCAATGAGTATAAAAAATAACTTTAAGATCTTACACAAAAATAATTTATTTATTACCTTTATTATTACATTAATAATTTACATTGTTGTAAAAAATGTTTCAAGAATATTATTTAACTGTTAACAAATATTTCATTATTAAAAAAAAAAACAACATTAAGTCACGAGAATCTCTTGAAATTTATTTCATATAACGAACCTTTTAAGATATTTAGATGATTCATTAAATATAGCTTCTTTTTTTTTATATATAACTTAAAAAAATGGAAAGATAGTATCAAAACCTTTTTTTATTCTGTCAAACGATACCATTTTTAAAAATGTTTTATAAATATTTACTAATCCGCAACTACATTGGCCGAATATTGTCTACGGCTTAAATGTAAAAACAGATTTTTTATAGCAAAATATTAAGCCTAAACTACATTGGCCAAATGTTGGCCCAACGTAGTACGATAATTACAAAAAACCGATTTATAGAATTACAATATTACGCCGAAGAAAAAACATTGGCTAAAAGTTGGCCCAATATAGTATGATATTTGCAAAAAACCGATTTGCAGAATTGAAAATAATACGTCGAAAAAAAACATTGGCTAATTGTTGGCCCAACGGAATAAACTTGCAAATGTTAAAACTTACGTTGGGCCAATGTAAGCTTGCTGTGTGGGATATATATATATATATATATATATATATATATATATATATATATATATATATATATATATATATATATATATATATATATATATATATATATATATATATATATATATATATATATATATATATATATATATATATATTCATATATATATATATATATATATATATATATATATATATATATATATATATATATATATATATATATATATATATATATATATATATATATATATATATATATATATATATATATATATATATGTGTGTGTGTGTGTGTGTGTGTGTGTGTGTGTGTGTGTGTGTGTGTGTGTGTATTTGTTAATAAAGAAGCTTTTAGTAAGTAAAAATCTTTATAAATGTTTTTCCAAAAATTAGGAATATATCAAAAGTATATAAATATATTTCATTTTTTTACAGTTAAACATGGTGTATCATAAAAAAAGAAAAACCGATAGACCACCTAGAGGTAAAGTTAATGAGAATGAAATACGAGCAGCTGTTAATGCAGTTCTCTATGGTGGTACAGTTTATCGTGTATCTAAAGAGAGGGAAATCAATTTAATGACACTTAAGAGGTATGTAAGGAAATGTCGATTAAATCCTAATACAGTCTTCAAACCTAACTTCATTTCCATGCAAATCTTTACCAACGAAGAAAAAACATCTTTATCAGATTATCTTTTAAGGGCCTCAAAACTTCACTTTGGATTGTCAACCAAAACAACACAAAAACTTGCCTATGAATTTGCAATGACTCTTTTGAATGACGCATTCATGAGTCGAGGAGAAGTTTACAAATTGCTGGGAAACAGTGGCTTTGTGGTTATATGTTACGTAGGAATGAGTTATAGTTAAACAATCTTTACGAAATCCAGAAGCTACTGGTATGGCACGAGCAACTGCTTTTAATTGTTAAACAGTCGGAGATTTTTTCACCAATCTAAAAGATGTTCTTCTACAACACAAGTTTCACAAAACATATATAATTTTGATAAGACACCCAAGTTGCAAACAATATTGGCGTAATATTGGCGCGATATTGGTTAATCTCCGCCAAAATATCCGATATTGCGCCAATATTGTCAACCAATATTACGCCAATATTGTCTTACCAATGTTGGCAAACAATATTGCGCCAATATTATCCCATTATCGTTTTACTAATATTGTTATGCCAATATTGGCGAAATATTGTTTGGCATTTTGGCTTTATACTAAATTTTACATATTGGTACGCATGCGTAACATTAAGGAATATTCATAATGTCCTTAATCTGTTTAAATGTTTTTGTTAAATGTATATAATAGCATCTTTTACATAAACAGACATCCTTATGTTATTATTTTTTTTACAAAAACAAATAAATATTCTAATGAAAAATTTTATTTATGAAAAAAGAAGAAGTAGGAAAATTATTTTTAATTCAACATTTACAGAGTGAACTTAAAAAAAATTAAGAAAAGGAAAATCATTTTTTTTATTGTAGACTTCAAACTGTTTTTTTTTTTTTGCTTCGCTTTATCTAATTTTTGTTGCTGAATGTAACTTTAAAGAAGCAATAATTAAAGCAGTACACAAATTATTACTTTTTTAATGCAGATAGTGACAAAAGTGTTATTATTTTTATAAAACAATTTTTTAGCAACGCATATAATGAAACTTGCGCAAACGGCCGTGATCACGTTCTCTAACTTGAAAAATGTTTTTGTGGTCGTACGAGACAAAAAACCGCACGCTTTTCCTGGGAAGGCTTGATATATATAAATTTTTTTATAATGTCTTTTATTTTAAATAGCATTTTATTTTATGCAATAGTTTAATGCAATGTTACAGGTAAAAAACAAACCAATAAGTTAAACTAGATCTGCTATATCACATTGTATTAAGAGTATTTAAACAAGATTAAAGTAAAATTCACACAATATGTAATGCTGAAAATAGTAAAAATTATATAAATGCGACTTTAAAAATGCAATACACTTTAGTGAGGATTGATGTTGGACATTAGCCTTGGAGAATAAAACTGATATAGAAAATTTATATCTAGGTATATCGAAAGCTTTCGACACATTTCACAACTATCTCCTACTTCTAAAATTAAAAGCTTATAGAATAGATAACAAACTCTACAATTGGATTTGAATGTTACCTAAGAGATTGGCTTAGAGTATCATTGTTGGTGGTATATACTCAGAATGGATAATAGTAAATAGTGGGTTTTTGTGATATATATTAAAGATTTTTCTGATTTGGTTTTAGATGATGTATCTGTATTTACATATGATACTAAGTTATACAGTTTGGTTTTTGATAGCTCACCATGCAATAACCTGCAAAATAATATGGACATTATAGCAAAGTAGGCAAAACTATGAAAGCTGAGTTTTAATGTAAAAAAATGTAAAATTATGCCCTTAGGACCAACAAATACAAAAATGATTTATATACTCGTCGATAAAAATCTCAATACTTTAATCTTAAAACATTCTTGTGAATAAAGGAATCTTAATTGGCAGTAATTTCACTTTTATTTTTTAAGTACAAAGAATAACAACGCCAATAAAATTGTGGGAATGATCAAGAGATCATTTGTTAATCTTAATATCTTGACATTTTGTACTTTGTTTATTTTCCTTGTTCGTCCTCACCTTGATTCTTGCAGCTCTGTCAATCAACTATCCAAGGCTTTAAAAAAATCAACAATCAATTTAAAATGTTCTATGCTAGTCTAGTAAGTTTGTTTTTGGTCAGACTAGACTTACTTACAACCAAAGACTACTGAGACTAAATTTAACTAGCATGAGCTATCGTTTCTTATGTAATGACATGGCAGAAACTTACAAATGCATTCACAATCTTTATAATTGTAGTTGAAACCCTTTTGTTTCCTCATCAAAAACCATTCTGTATTTTATCTATCAACACTTGTGTCAGAGTGATGTCATCGTCACAGCTATTATATTTATTGTTGTAACTACAGACCATTAAGTAGTTAATCTGAGTTTTAATCTCATGCGTGTTAATATGGACACTTAATATTAATATATGATTATATATTTAGTTAGTATTTATTCCTCCATTGTGACTAACTCCAACTTAAAAACATGCAATCATGCTTATAAATTGAAAAAAATGTTTTGTAAGACAGATATTCGGATAAAATTTTTTTAATATGGAATTCACAAATTTGTAGAATAGTATACCATTTGAAAAAGAGTTCAACATCTGTCACGACATTTAAAAAACATCTAGATGCATTTGGGGTTCATCAAATGTAAATCTGCATATAAACAGTTAAACCAACACAATTAGATACAATAGAACAAAAGGTTGCTAGGCTTTTTTATGTACCTAATTATTCTATTTGTAAAATTATAACCTTAGAAAGTAATAATAATAACAACAATAATAATAACAATATGTTATATCAAAATCTTATAATTAAACACCGAATAAGTTTTAAGTTTATTTTTTTAGTGCTGTATATTAAAACACTTTTTTTCAGTGTTCCGTAATAGAGAAAAATATTGTATGCCTGGCTAACTTATTCAATTGAGCATGAGATCTTAATCTCATGCTAATTTGAATATCGGGGTAAATATTTTCTTAGAGCCTCAAGTTGTTTATCTTCCTTAATGTCATATTTAAATAAGAAAACATTATCATAAAAACCTTTTCAAACTGCGCAAACTTTAAAGTTAACTTTTTTTTACTTACCAAAAATCTCGAAATAAAAAGCGATTACATTAAACATTAGGAAATAAAACTCAATAATTTTTAGACTAATATTTTCAGTTAAAAAAAATAATACTTTAAAAAAAAAAATAATCTGAAGTTTTTTTATATCATATATTTATTTGTGATTATTTTTTAGCTGATGTACCGTTTAACTGAAGGTGGTAATAAAGTTTACAAAATTAACTAAATTTTTCAATGAAAAAACAATATGTGTGCCATGAATGTAATCTGTTTTTCATGGCGGATCAATGAAAGTTTGGTGTATTGGCAAAATCACTTGCAAGCATCTTGACTTCAGGCTACCATACGTAAAGTGTAATAGGTAAAGCACAATATTTGTATTCTACATCCCACTTCCTCTTAATAAATAAATATTTTAATAAAAGCTAATTATTTTACAATATTTATACTTGAAAAATTATATATTTCAAAACTATATTGTGATAAAATTAAAAAAAACATTTTTTATATTTGCGTTTAGTCATTTATCGTTGTATACGTTTATTTTGAAATCGCTACTGACAAAAGTATTAAACAAAAAATTAGCAGCTTTCTGGCGACGGCCATTAATAAAGATTACGGAAGAAAAATAGAACCGTAACTGAGCAACGCCCAATATTGAGCAATGAAATAAGTATCGTCAAAATAATGAAAGTCGATGCCCACTATCTCATAGTGAGAATATAAAACAGTTGTTTATATATATATATATATATAAAATATATATATATATATATATATATATATATATATATTTATATATATATATATATATATATATATATATATATGTATATATATATATATATATATATATATATATATATATATATATATATATATATATATATATATATATATATATACATATATATATATATATATATATATATATATATATATATATATATATATATATATATATATATATATATATATATATATATATATATATATTTTTTGTACCTGTATTTAAATAGCATTGATTTTATTTTGTTATATTTTGGTTTTGGAAAACTCTATACCTCTTTTTTTCATTTGTGTCTGTTTCATATAACTTCAAATAAATTTAATAATTTCGATTAATTTTTTTCTTAAAGCGTATTCTATGATCATTGTCATCTCTTAGACTATAACATGTTTAACTCAAAAGAATAATGCAGCCTAATACTATAGTATCAGTTAAACAAGAAACTGTTATAAGTTTTAATTATTACGAATTTATAGTAGGCAATATTTTTTATTTTTTAGTACTAAAAATATAATCAATATTTGGCCTTAATTTAGTTATATATATTATATATATCAGGATAATATTGTAAACTATATTAGGCCAATGTTGGCCAGTATAATATCCCCATTATGGCTCGATATTGTTTACAGTATTGGCGCAACATTATAAACTACATCGGGCCAACGCTGCAATGTGAACATTTTGCCAATATTGGCCAAAATTGACTTAACAATATTGACGCAATATTGTAGCGCCAATATTGGCCAATATTGGCAAAACGTTCACATTGCAACATTGGCCCAATATAGTTTACAATATTGCGCCAATATTGTAAACAATATCGCTCCAATATTGCGCCAATATTATTTGCTACTAGGCCAGGTCTTACAACTGTTCAAAAACCACTTAAAGTAATTGCTACAAAATGAGATGAACAAGTTGGAAGGATAACTTCAGCAGAAAGAGGGATATTGGTAACTGTTTGTTGTGCAGTTAATGCAATAAGAAACTCAATCTCTCCATTTTTTATTTTGCCAAGAGTTGATTTCAAAGGAAGTATGATAAATGGTGGTCCACCTGGATGTGTTGGGGTTGCAAACCCATCTGGTTGGATGAATGTTGCAACTTTTTTAGAGTGGGTGAAACATTTTATTCAAAATGTGAAATGTTCACCAGCTATTCCAGTGCTTTTACTTCTTAACAACCACGAGAGCCTTGTTTCAATTGTGTGTTTAGATTTAGCTAAAAAAAATAGCATAACTATGCTGTTCTTTCCACCACATTGTAGTCACATGTTGCAGCCATTAAATCAGTCAGTTTATGGGCCACTGAAATGTTATTACAATGCAGCCTGTGATGATTGGATTATATCTAATCCAAGACCGATGACCATATAGGATATAGCTTCAGTTGTAAGGAAAGCCTATGTACAAGCTTTTACTTTGTCTAACATTTCTGCAGGATTTGCTGTGGCAGGAATTGAACCTTTTATCCTAACATACTTTCTGATAATGAGATTTTGTCTTCATATGTAACAGACCGTCCAGAAATTGTTATTGCTAACCCATTTCCAGGTGTTGTTGATCCAGTTTTTGCTATCGTTCAACCCCAGCTTTTAATCAATCATTGATGTCAAGTCTGTCATCTGGTTCAGCTTGTAGTGTATTACTTATTCAGCCTATATCTGACCCTGGAAGTCAAATATCTAGTGTTTCTAATAGTATCTCTCATCAAGCAAGTCTAGAAAATATTAGGCTATTTCCAAAAGCTGGATCAAGATAATTCATTAAAGGACGTAAACGTCAGCGTACTCGAATACTTACAGACGCTCCTGTTCAAAATGAGTTAAATAAGCTTCAGGAAATAAAAAAAAAATCTCAGTCAAAAAAGAAAAAAACATAAAACGCAAAATAAAATCTTTATGACAAGAAAAAGAAAACTTGATCTTGAAAGTAATGAAAATAAAAAAGTTGAGTCTCAGTAAAAAATAACATTTTTTTCATTAATTTTTATTTTTTTAAGAAAGGTAAAATTGTAGTAAAATTAATAATAAATTTATTGGTTTTTATTATAGTCATTGTTTTGATAACTTATAAGATATTTTTATACATTCATGGTATATATTTGATCTCGAGTCAAGTATACGAACATAGAATCAAAGGTGCATATTGGTAGGATCAAGGGAGCATACTAGTATGCACCCATGATCCCAATTGACCGTTCTTAGTTTTTATAATTTTAAATCTACTTGTAATATTCTGGTAAAAAAAATAATAATTGAATTATAATAAGGTATAAAATTTGCTATTATGTACTTTAAAAATTAGTTTTCTGTGTCATAAATCAATGAACTTTTATTAGAAAACATTGAAACATGTTCAACTTTTCTCGGTTGTAAATTTTAAATTTATTCAGAAAATAGGGATGTCTGGACTAATAATCTGGTAAAACTTGAAGACTCTAATAAAATGAGAAGAATGGTCCCTTTTGAAGAATTTTCACTGGAAAAAAGGTGCAGAATGCGTCCTCAATATCAAATTATCGGACGCTACCATTTCGTCGGACCTAAAATCAAAGAAAGAAAGGAGCAAATAGCGGAAATTTCCAAAGAAGTCACCAAATTTTGGAAGATTAAACTGAATTTTCTTCTTGTATCTGATCAAGTTATACAAGAAAAGCTTGTGAAATATTAAAATGTTATGATTAATGTCTCAGGCGGGGAAGCCACGAATCCCTTGATGAAATTTTTGATATTACTAAAGTGGATGGAAAAAGTTATCTTCTATGAACAAACAATTTTAGCATCTCTAAATGAAAAGCATAAGATTAGTGGGGTACTCTTCAGGCCAAGCGGCCAATAAAAAAACAATTCATCCCTCTAAAAGACAAAAATTTTCAAATGTGTTTTCCAACTCATAATCTTACTATTCTGGTTTTAGTGTGACTCTGAGGCTGAAAACAGTGAATATGAATACTATGAAGAAGATGAGACAACTCCTACACCGATCAGAAAACATCATAAAAGTTGGTCAACTTGGTGACCTCCACAAGAGTATCAATTGGCTTGTGAAGGCAGGCACACAGATAATTGTAGCAGATACCAACATCGTTAACACTGGAAAAAAGAATGGATTTATTGTAATATTGTAATGAATGTTCACAGAGAAAAACTTCAACAAACCTCAGTTTATTAGTCGTCAACTTCATGTGTTAGAAAGAATTCTCCGTTTGGTGATGGATGAAGGACTTTGAAGTGAAACACAACCGCCAAACATTGAATATTCATTTTTTTCTAAACTCTCAAAGGATTACGGACAACTGAAAACACAGATTGATAACGGAACAGAAGTAGTTCTCAAAACATCAGGCTAGAGAGATAGTATGAAAATTTTTTTTCTTCTCACTCTAGTGTTCCGAATTTTTGAGAAAAAATTATATTTTCAAATGATTAGGTTTTTGAATATACCAAACGTCAGCAATGCGAGGTGGAACTTCAGAGCTATCCTAGCGATCCTGGCCTTCATTTTAGTTCCTTCAACAAGGACAGTTCTGCAGAGTTCTTCATTTTAATTCCTTTAATAAGGACTGTTCTTATATCAATTTATATCGTATGGCTGGGCAGACTCATTGGTTTACAGATCAACTATACAACGAAAACGATTTTAATAACTTGACTGAAATACTGAATTTATACGAAAAAGCATTAAGGTCTTTGAAAAATCACTGGAAGCGAGAGCCATCCATACTAAAAATACCTAGAAGTAATCAATGTGCAGATCGCGCATTTGAAGTAATGGAGTAAATTTATTCATCATGCAAAAAAGTAAAGACATTTTGAGCCTTCGATTCCTTCTGTGCAACAAGCAAGAGCAAGATCAACAAAAGCGCAAAAGCAAGGTCAACGGTTTGAGTCATTATTGGATCGAAAGAAAGAATTTTAATAAATAAATCTTTTTAAATTAAAAACCCAAAAATTTATCATATTTTTTTGAAAGAAAGAACTTTACTAAATAAATCTTTTTAAATTAAAAACCTAAAAATTTTTAATATTTTATCGGAAAGAAAGAATTTTTCCAAGTAAATCTTTTTAAATTAAAAACCTGAAAATTTATAATATTATATCGGAAAGAAAGAATTTTATCAAGTAAATCTTTTTAAATTAAAAACCTAAAAATTTATAATATTATATCGGAAAGAAAGAATTTTACCAAGTAAATCTTTTTAAATTAAAAACCTAAAAATTTATAATATTATATCGGAAAGAAAGAATTTTATCAAGTAAATCTTTTTAAATTAAAAACCCAAAAATTTATAATATTGAAAAACTGATTTATTATTTAGCCTATTTATTCAACATATCCGGCTGTGTACGCTAATCATAAATATAAATGTAAGTGGTGTACATAAATAACTTTATGGGTTTAAATGAAGAAAAACCAGTCGGATGAAAGTATTTGAACTTTAATATCTATTACATATATGCACAGTATTTTTTAAAAAAATTGGTAAATTAAATTTTTTATATCAACGAAATTAGAGTGCAATATAAAATATTGAAGCAAGAAACTGAATTTGGCTACCATAACTGAAATTAATTTTTTTTTTTTTTTAGTATTATTCAATAATGAATAATCATGTTCGTGATCGATCATGAAAAATTCATTCTAGGAAATTGTAGTAAATTTTTTAAGCTTTTTTTTAAAAGTCCACTATCTCAAGTAAAATAAAAAACATTTGCCACACCATAGGCAACAGTTAAAGTTTGAGAATATTTAGGGTCAATGTTGGGAATTAAATCTTAACTGATAATTATACAATTTCTTTTTGAATAATATTTATTTTATTTGGGGATTAATGTTATTGTCCAAGTATACTAATATTATTGTTCAAGTATGTACTAAACATCCTATTTAGATTGCGTTAGTTGACTAAGTATATTTTAACTTGCTGTATGTTAGTATATCTAAAAACTATGATTAAAGTAATAACAAACGTAAATAACAAATTTAACAAGGTACATAAAGTTGCAAAAGCATGAAAAGCTAACTTACATCTATAATTTTGTTCCATTTCTTTAATTTATTTATATAATATGTTGAAAGTTTTGCTGAAAATATTTTTTTGCTTTTATAGTTTTTAAGTCAGTACATAAATATAAACATATATAATTCTATAAATATATGTATGTATGTTTGTATGTATGTATGTATGTATGTATGTATGTATGTATGTATGTATGTATGTATGTATGTATGTATGTATGTATGTATGTATGTATGTATGTATGTATGTATGTATGTATGTATGTATGTATGTATGTATGTATGTATGTATGTATGTATGTATGTATGTATGTATGTATGTATGTATGTATGTATGTATGTATGTATGTATGTATTTATGTATGTATGTATGTATGTATGTATGTATGTATGTATGTATGTATGTATGTATGTATGTATGTATGTATGTATGTATGTATGTATGTATGTATGTATGTATGTATGTATGTATGTATGTATGTATGTATGTATGTATGTATGTATGTATGTATGTATGTATGTATGTATGTATGTATGTATGTATGTATGTATGTATGTATGTATGCAGGGTTGGACTAGCTCTTTGTGGCGACCCTCTATAAAATCTTTAAAAAAAATTACATAATATATAAATAACGTGTTAAATAACTCTGAGGTACCTCAATTAACAATAGGTTATTTTAATTTATAAGTTTATTTATTACCATATTAAAAATGCATAATTTAAAAATCAAAATAATAACTCATCACATATAATTATACCATCAAAGAGTTTTTTAATACTTTTTTTTCTTGAACAACTTCATGCAGGATACCTTGAATTGAAATTGTTTCTAACAAATCTTTGTTTAGATTCATTATCATACAAGATTCTAAATTTTCCAACGATAAGCGATTTCTCAAACGGGTTTTGATGTAAGTCAATGTTGAAAAGCTTCTTTCACAACCAATATGGGTACATGAAAATGTCAAAATATATTTATATGCAGTAAACAAATGATTATATGATAAAACAAATAATCTATACTTGAATAAGACTTGATTACAGCACATTAAACAACTTAAACAACGTTTTTTTTAAAAACACTTTTTTACTTTATGTCGATTGATTTCACCGTCATCAATTATTCTTAATTCGTCTATATCTTCAACTGCATCATCATTATCATCATCTTCTTCTCTGTTCAATAAATAAGTCTCAGGTAAATTTAATTTTAATTTATCCCATTTAAAAGCAAAATCTAAAAGCCCGTTTTTTAACTCAGCACCTTTAAATTCAAGAATTTTTGATAGCTTAACTAGAGCAGTACTTGGTAAATCATTCAAAAATTTTCTAGGATAAAGGCAAGCAAAATCAGCACACAATTTTGAGTCATTGTAAAACCGTTGTTTCAACTTTGAAATAACTATATCCGATGCTACGTTATGAACATTGAATTCAAATTTTTCTATTGGAGTTTTTGAAACATAATTTTCACCAAATTTTTTTTTGGGAATTCGAAAAGTTTAAAGAACACTTTCCATAACTAATTCAGTATCATATTCTTCAAGTTTATTATTTGCCCATAATACAAAACAGTTAGTAGAATCTAACATATTTTAAAAATTTCTTGCTTTTTTTTTTTATTTTTCTACAGGCAAATCAGTCATTAGATGTGCTTGTAGTATGCACATCCCTTCTGTTTGTAAGTATTTAGATAGAGATTTTGTACGACTAAATATTTTTAAAAACAATTGAGCATTCATTACTGTTTCATATTTCATTAAAGCTTTTAAAAGTAAATTAGCTGTAGATTTAGTATCACTACTAAAGTCTTCATTGTTAGACGAAACAATTAATAATACATTTAAACACTTATGTAAAGTATGATTCGTTATCAGACGTCATAAAAACATAATATAACGTCGCCGCGCATAAAACACCGTAATACGAATACCGTAAACAATGTACGACATATTATAACATAAATAAATTATATAATATGTAAATATGTAAATTATATTACAATGATACCCACTATCTTAATTTACAAACAATTTTTCCTACATATATTTTTATTGTACCAAAGTAGCAGCAACTGCGATTTATATTAGTGGCCCATTGTAAGTAAAATATCAACAACCCACCGGGGCCTCCCCCGGCATCCCGATAGACAAGTCCAACCCTGTATGTATGTATGTATGTATGTATGTATGTATGTATGTATGTATGTATGTATGTATGTATGTATGTATGTATGTATGTATGTATGTATGTATATATATATATATGTATATATGTATGTATATATGTATATATGTATGCGTGTATGTATTTATGTATGGATGGATGGATTAAGTATGGATGTATGTAAGTTTGTGTGTGTGTGTATGTATGGATGGATGGATGAAAGTATGGATGTATGTAAGTTTGTGTGTGTGTGTGTTTGTGTATGTGTATGTATGTGTATGTATTTATGTATTTATGTATGTTTGTATTTAAATATGCACGAATGTTAAAAACTTTACCACTCACATTTGTATCCGCATTTGAATAACGACACTAGAGATTTAATGGTTTTATTATTGTTGTTTTATTATTTGTAAAAATTTTAAGAAATTTTTAATTTTAATAATCAAGTTTAAATTTAAGTAATAAAAAATAATTTATTATATATATATATATATATATATATATATATATATATATATATATATATATATATATATATATATATATATATATGTATATATATATATATATATATATATATATATATATATATATATATATATATATATATATATATATATATATATATATATATATATATATATATATATGTATATATATATATATATATATATATATATATATATATATATATATATATATATATATATATATATATATTTACCCTTAATTGTTAAATTTAGGAAACTTACCAATTTGTTGTGTATTGGTTGATTAATAATATTTATACATAGAAATATTATATTATACATAGAAATAATCATAAATAGTACTAATATATTGTTTATAATAAAATTAATACTATTAACGTGTTTATAGTATAAATATTACTAATAAACTGTCTATTGAAGTTTTAACATTTACATTTACATTATCATGAAATTTGAAACTTTGAAAGTTATTGAGATTAAAACAAATAAACTTTGAAACATTATACTAAAGAGCTCAAGTTCATAATTTTGAGTTTTATAAATTAAAATATTTGAGAATAAAAAATTTTTGCAATCAAAAACTAATATTCAAATAAAATAAAAAATAATAATTGTCAAGTAATATTCAATTAAAATTAAAAAAAATATGCATTTGTTTTTATTAATCAATTTTTATAATTTCCCATTTTACACTATTAAATGAGCAGTTACATAGTTAATAGACTCACAGTTACCCAGTTAATAGACTATTTTGAATACTGGTAAGACCTACCTGTTGAGGTAAGTCTAATCATATCATATTATTTTCACTGTCGTGAACTAGTTCGTTCAACATGGCATCGGTACACTTTTGAACGAACTGATTAAAAACTTAAAAATTATTTTGAACAAACTAGTCCATAACTGTGAAAATCGTTTTGAACGAACTGGTTGAACGGCAGAGAAAATCATTTTAAACTAACTGGTTAAACGATGGAGAAAATGATATTAAACTAACTCATTCAAGACAGTGAAAATAAACTTTGAACGAACTGGTTCAAGACAGAGAAAATAATTTGGAACAAACGGGTTGAAGACATTGAAATCTTTTTAGATTTAACTTGAGTAATTTTTGTAAAAACGTTTTTATATTTTTTTAAATGTCTTATAATAAAGCTAAAATTTTCACTGAGCTGGAAATATGATTTTTGCTAAATAACTTTTATTTTTCGAAAATACGCAGTTGACATATTGTAAAACATTTATTGATTATTATTTTTTAAACACAAGAGTTTTGTAGACAAAAATCAAGACCTTGATATTACTACAAAAAATAGTAATTAAACAGTAAATCCATTCTAGTATAAATATTTTTAATAAAAATCAACCCAATCAGGTACAAAAGATGGCATCTTTTATTACTAATTAGCTGGAAACAAATCTGTTTATTTATGCTCATGCTCAAATTGATTGACAAAGACTACGTCCTAACACAACCTTGCAAAATAATTTTTAAAAACATTTTGTTATGCACAATTTTAAATAATTTTCTAAACAACTTTTAATTACAAATAAACTTTATTAATACTTATTAAGAGTCAAAAAGTAATTTTAATAACTTTATAATGCTAAACGTTGTTTTTAGAAAGATGTGTGGGTATAAAAATAGCTGTTTAACAAAAGGTAGCTGAGACATTTTTTGAGTTATACTTTTATTTTATTTCAACTTTATTAATGACAGAATGCACATGTATTTATAAAAAATTTGCAAAATATTTGTTTTCTAGCTATAAATAACTCTGTGTGAAAAACAAAGCTAAACAATTTCGATTTTATATACTGTTTTGCTTTATAACTTCTTCTTCCATTCTCTTATATTTAGTTTTGTAACATCTGCTTGCCATTTTCTTATATTTTGCTTTGCAACTTCTTCTTACCAATCTTCTATAACCTTTTAGGTGCCCTACTAAAGTAAAGATTTGTTGCTTGAAATGTTTCAGTAATAATAGATTAATCGTTATTTCTAAAATTCTGAATAAAAAGGCATTGTTAGGTTTCCATGTAAACCTAACAAAACCTTTGGTTAAATACAAGGCACTTATAAATATGATGTGTCTTTCTTACTAGGATAACAAGAACACTGAATTTATGCAATTATATTTTGAAGAAACTAAAGATTAGATTTTTGAAGAAACTAATGATTATGAAACTAAAAGGCAGATGCTTTATAGCAAATTAAACTTGTGTCTTTTAACATTGTGTTAAACTTAGTACTCAGATCGTCTAGCAAAGGAACAGCAATAATCAAATTATTCAAAGTACAACTTTTAGGCTTGTTCAAAGCATATTTAAAGATGTTGATCAATAATTTTAGATAAAGATCTTAAACATCTTTTAATGCTTAAACAAGGTTCAAACTTTAAAAAAAAAATCATTATAATTTAATTGCACAATTGCGTAATAAAAAGAATTTCAATTACATATGTTATTATAAATAATGCAAAATAAAATCAAAATTTGTTTATTTCTTTAATATAAAAAACACTACCAGAGTTGCTCAATTAAATGTTCTATTGATACAAATTGACTTCTTTGAGAAAACTTGAGGAATAAAAAATTTTTATAAAGTATCCATGCGATGGTTTTACAGTTTGAAATATCTAAAGAAAGATATATCAAGTGTCTTTCGGTGTTGGCGGACTCTGTATATGAAGTGAAGAGTGTTTTATTTTTTTTAAAGACTGTTCCTAAGATTGCAGTATATTGTTGGAAAAAGTTGTTGAGAATAAAAATATTTTAAAATGTTGCGCGCATTTAATAATGGACATTATTATTAAATGCATCATCATGCTATCAATAAAGTATTTTGTGACACCGAGCCGAAAATAGGAGTTTAGAAGCTGCTGCACATTTCAGCAGGACAAAAAGCATTCACATCTCTGTCAATTTCAATACTCACTTTTGAATAAAACGCCATATCGAAGGTACTCTCGATAATTCATTCTAGTCACACGGTATTTTTATAAACAAAATATAAAGGCAGAGCCGATTTAAAAAATAATAAACATTGCGGATTTAGAGGTTTTGTTTTTATTCGCTTTCGGCGAGTTGGTCAAATAGCAAAAGAGTTTGTAATTATACAAACTATTAATTGCTTCAAAAAGACATTTTTTTATGGACTGTGGATTAAAAAACTGTTAACTGTTAAACAGACATGCGCTAGTCGTATCAGGTTATATACAAAACTATTGGTTCACTCTTTGTTCAGAAATGTATACCGTAGTACGCTCGAGTCCTTAATATACGAGGGGAGGAAAGAGGTTGTATTGTGTGTGTGGGGGAGGGGGGAGAGAGTTGTGTGAAATTTGGTTCAGATGTAATGAAAGGGGGAGGCGGGGGATAGGGGTAGCTACAAAAAACATTATTAACATTACAAAACACTTGCAAATAAAAAATTAAGGATACTTAAAGCTCTAAGTTTATGATTGTTTCATTGTGCGAATGGCTTATATGTGTCATTTAAAAAGTTCTTAAACTGTTATAAACTGTCGATTCTATATAAAAAAAGATTTATATATGAACTACTATAATAGGCAACTTAAGAGCTTATGCAATCTACAATAAATAAAAATATTATCAATAATACACTGCAATAATTCATAAAACAATGCTCTACATAGCTGAAACACAAAACTGCAATTTTTAAATAAATTAAGTCAAATAAATTGTCTTATTTGTCATTTTTTAAAAAACCTTGTTTTTGTTACATATTTTTATTTATTCCAGGTAGGCATATTGCATGACAAGGTTGATCAATCTCTGAATGACAAACTGTTTTCATTTAAATCATCAGAACCTAAATCAGATTGAAAAGAAAACTCTTTTTCAGTTGCACTAATTTGAAAGCACCTGGCGCTTGATACCTGCACCATCATCAGTCAAACTTGAAGGTGTTTTCGTAAAACAAATTTATTTTAGTGTTTTTGTTGCTTAAGTTGTTGCTTTATTGCGGTTGCAGTTAAAGAGATAGTATTGCTGCCGTTCTCTTTGGTCCAAACATCTGAAAAAGCATATTGTTTGCCTTAATTGTAACTATTTTTAAGTTTGGTAATATAATACATTAAAATTAAAACAGAACTAAAATATTTTAACATAAAAATTTATTAAACAAAGGAATTGTAATTTACTCATGTAAAGTATTTATGTACCTATATGTAAACACAAATAATAATTCTAATTTTTCAAATAAAAAAATATGACAACTACGAAAAAAAAACTTATCAGAGTAAACTAGTCAACAAGTACAAGTAATAGTCATGTTTGTAATATAACGTGTATTTATTATGTATAATATGTATAAAAATTAAATAGATATTTAATAGGTATTTAATTTAAATAGGTATTATACTTCTGTGTACAACTAAATTAATTAGTTAATGAAACTATAAAAATATATGTTATATTAAAAAAGTTAAAACATATCTTTTCAATTATATAGCTTAAAATAACCAATACTAATGATAATTGAACTATGATACTGCTGAAATTTGTTTTTGTCGTCATGCAGTGAGACCAAATTTAAGTACAAATATTAGTTAAGAACAATAAAAACAGTACATTAACAGGTAAATATCATATATTTATTTTTAAACAATATAATATTAACTAAAAGACAAGTAAGTTATATATATATATATATATATATATATATATATATATATATATATATATATATATATATATATATATATATATATATATATACATATATATATATATATATATATATATATATATATATATATATATATATATATATATATATATATATATATACATATATATATATATATATATATATATATATATATATATATATATATATATATATATATATATATATATATATATATATATATTATATATATATATATATATATATATATATATATATATAGATAGATATATAGATATATATAAATATATATAGCACTGGCCCACTGACATGGGCCAGCATTGGTCCGCAATTGTTCGCAAGCACTGGCCTGTGATTGTATGCCAGCACTGGCCCGGGATATTTTGCCAGCACTGGCCCGCGATTGCTTAACAGCACTGGCCCATTATCTATTACCAATACTGATTCGTGATCATTTTCCAACATTTGTTCCTGGTCGCGTGTCATTACTTAAGCGTTACTTTTTACTAATACATTAGGAAGTTATTAATAGGTGTTTCTGTACAAATATATTATTCCGCATGAATCAAAAAAATAAATACTTTTCGAAATTTTTTCCAACTTATATCGAAAAAAGTAAATAAGTATTTTCGAACTTTTTTCCCAACCAAAAGTGAGTTAAAAAATAATAATAAAAAAAAAAAAAAATTTTGTTAAAATTTCAAATTG